TGTAATGCACGTGATCCAATAACATTTTTTCTTCGATGTTAGGTATGGACTGAAGCATTGACACCTGAATTCAGAAACTTTGTGTTTTGTATATCCCATGTATTTTTCACTTCATATTCGTATTTTTCAAGTTTTCAATTAAGTTATTTAATAATAGTCATTCGTGAAATATTTGAACATAAAATCTTATAAACAATAAAATTATTGACTTTTAATCTAATGGCTAAAATAATTAATAAAACTTTTAATTGCTTACATTTACCTCAAATTTAATCAAATTGACACATTTTTGACATAGAGGTGAATGCCAATTTCCAGCATATATAAATATCTTGGAATGTACAAACAATTCATTGTCAGTTAATATTTTATTAGAAATATTGCAAGTTTCATAACTTCATTGATATTTTATAATAAAAACTAATGTTTTTTATCAAATCTTTTTACATCAAGTGACAATCAAATCAGTTCTAAATATTCCAATCTGCTTCAAATTGCACTGAATTTACATGGATATAATAAATATGACTAAATTGAATTATTTGTGATTGACCAGTTCCCTTCATTCAAATTGAATTTATAATGCCCTTTGAGATTACCTCAACTGGTACCGTTTCCGTAGTACTATCCTCAGGTATATTTGCACATTTCATGATTCCTTTCAATAATAAATACAATGATTGCCTTGTTAGCTGATAAAACTCCTATTAAGTAGCCGATTTGACTAGAGTAGCCCTCGAAATATCCAGGAATGTGGTCTTCATATATACCAATCACTGAAAAGAATTAATTTATGAAGAGAGCGTTTCATTGTTTTAGGACAAACCTATTGCAGGTCTAAAAATAATAGTTGGAATATTGCCGACGCACAAATCTTGTACGGTTTATGTTGTACGTATTATGTTTGACGTTCATCATTTAGCAAGTCATTACGTTCAGGGTGTGTCTATCCATAGTTTCTGCAATTTCGATGATCTTCCTCCAATCGCCATGTGGTGCGTACATTTTCTCCTCAATACAATTATTATCGTGATGACAATAACACGTAGAAACGTGCATTAAGATCTGCGATTACAGTGCATTAAATTTTACATTTTTTTAAAGTACAGATTAGCTCCCACCGGTTTTCTTTTCATTTACAGTGCCAGATGACAAAAATCACGCGTTCCTCTGATATTTGCTAATGCAGCATCAGTCAAATCTGCGGTAAATCTTATGGTAGCCGTTATGTGTATTATAATATCGATGTTACTGCGAAGCATTTCAAGATCATCCTGTGATATTCCTAGAATATTCAATAAGTTACAATTGAATTTCAACCCATAGCAAATAACTTACCGAGATTGATGCTACTGATATCTGCACTATGCATTTATAGTATCTTTAATATTTGAATATCGTGATATATAATGAATATTAAAAACTATTTCAATTGGCTGGGGTCAATGCTATTATGTTAATCACCTCATTATAAATAAGAACAATGCAAGAGATTGCAGTATGACGTTTATACTTTTAAATAATTATTACATTTATAATGAATGCTTCACCAATTTTTATAAGAGTTATACACAACTGCTACATTTTTATAATATCAATCTAATAATAATAGTAAGATGAGCGGTTGAGCAAATATTCTACATTTCGTGTTTGCCTGAAAGGTTCAATGCTCAACTTAACATTCCTGCATTTTATATTTTTCGACTTACGCGATTTTCACTGAAACTTTTTGAACCAATTAACCGCGCAATTCGATGTTCTTACTGTATATTCATGTCATAAGTATGTCGAAAAAAAACACATCTCTTTATATTGTCAACTCCTGTCAAGGATACGCACTTTCTTTGATTTTCGAGTTTATATTTATGGGTTTGCGTTTCTATAAAATGTAATAAATGTGTTACTCCTTAAGTTGACAATTATACCTATTATAAAATTTGAAGAAGGTTAAGTTCATTCGACATAGTTTAGAATGCTCTAAATTGAACTAAAAACAATTCTAACTATATAAAGAAAATATTTTTGAATTTTCTTGGTCTATCTCCTCATCCATTGATATCTTAGAAAATGTTATCAGAGTCGAACCGAAATTAATTTTCTTCCGTTTTAGGGGTACGTTCCACGTCAATGTTTATCGCTTCAGTTCCGGTTAAATTTAAAATCGAAAACAATTTAAATCAGTTAAAATTATATTTAAAAACATTTCTACATGGAGCATACATGAAAGTCAGTGATTATTGTTAGATTAACGTTAGACCAAGAGATACCACCGAAAGCAATAAACTATTTCAACCCAACCACCGATACGACCTGTCTGAGCGAGTTCTCCTAAAATTTCTCAACAAAAACCTCTCCTGTGGTGAAATTCCTGCTAAATGGAAAGTAACAATTAACGTGCCCATCCTCAAAAAGAACCCACCGTTTATATCGATCAGCTACAGATCCATTGCTCTATCATCCTACCTCAAATAATGTTATTATCAATAAACGGCAGAATAATTTCCTTATTCATCACTGGATTTAGAGACAGAAGTGGATAATATATACACCATCAGCGCGTGAATTTACCAGTCTCTACTAATATGGAGTATATTCTCGCATGCTTGTAAATACAATTTGCTTTCTATAATGTTTTTATCCAATTTTTAACAACAATCTTGACTGATCTTCACTCGCTCTTCCAAATCAATTTTAATATCTAGATTTGGATCAGGGTCAGATTTAGGCATGGTAACTAACCTAACATAGGTTAAGCGGAAAAGGGCCTTCAAACAGTGTAGTTCAGTCATGGTAGTAATATTTTCGTTGGCCTTACAATTTCTTGTGGATCCTATTATTTTATGATTAGGTAATTTGTTTTTGTTCCATTTATAGTTAACAAAAGACAGCCCAAAACAAAGAATTACACATACTGCCAATGAACTTGCTGAAAATGTTTTACATAAAAAAATATATACAGGGTGCGTAAGGTTTTAGAGGACAGATTTATGATCGCCGGAAAATTAACAAATACATACTATAAAATAAATTAAATTTATTTCCGAAAAATTTTATGTATTCAAGACTTTATATTTCTTGATTCAATGAAACCACCGTCAGCATCAATATGAGATCTAAGACGTCGACAAGCTTGACTTTTCACCCAAGAGTAAATGAGGAAAGTTCTTGTGTTAAACTTTCCCTTCAGGACGTTATAAATTCCCCTCAGGTAAGGGTTCCAGGAAGAGAACAGAACGGTTTATTTTTTAGCTTTCCTTTATCACAGGATGTATTTCCGGATGGAAAATTTCATCGAATATTGTGGGCACAATATGTGGGTAATATTATTCTTGGTTATTCAAAACTTAGGATTACTTAAATTGTATTTATTTTGACGATCGTTAAACTGTTCAATATAGGACAGAATATAACACGTATCCTATAGTAGAATAAACAATAGTATGGACTATATAGTAAATAGTTTTTAATCTGAAATAATAATAGTATTAAAAAAATAATAAAACTAGATACGAGAAACTTACATCGCGAATTTTGTGGGACTCGTGAGATGTTCAGTAAATTCCTGTTTCAAATAATGTTTGTTGATGAAATTTAAATGTTTAATGATGTTTTTTTCAATGAAATTGTGTTCGTGGACCTGTGGATCGATAATAAATTCGTGATTGGTCGGTGCGTCTGAAACGGCAAATAGAAAGTTCTTATTTTCGATCTTCCATTCGTTGGATTTGAAGTACTCGAGGACGCAGAGTCCGGTAAATATTTTCCTCTGAATAGTGATCAAGCTGAAAGTAAATTGTTGATGAAAACTTGATTATTGATGATGATAAATTTGCTTTTACATTGGTTGTCCTTTCTTCAAACAGATTATGAAATCTGCAACAATGCAAGGCAACAGTTGGAAAATCATGAAGTACAGATAGAAAAAGAGGTCGGTTTCAATTAAATGAAAGTGCGGGTACCATCTGTAGGTCGTTCTGATTTTCATGAAAGCTGAATTTGTTGCGTTCGCAAAGGTCTCGTTGTTCCAATCCATCAGATTGTTGCTGGACCCATTGTAGATGCTTACAGGCTGTTCGCTAAATTGCGAGAAAATTATGGAATTAAATATGTTTGTATATATTATGCATTTACCTTTGTCCAGTTCCTTTCAACCAAACGGAATTGATCAATCCTTTTGCAATGAAATCCACCGGCACCGATTCCGATCTGTACGACTTCTTCAAGTTAATGCATCGCATAAGGCCTAAGGCATATAAGTTGAGAATACGTTAACTCTTTAATTTTTAAATCAAACCTGATAATGCTCCGACCAAGATGCCTATATGTCCGGAGAAACCCTCACAGTAACCGGGAAGTGGATCCTCGAGAACACCGACCACTGAAATGATGACAGCTTATTCATGAAAATAACCGAATAATGATTTCATACAAACCTATTGCCGGTCTCAGAATTATGGTAGGAATCTTCCCCACACAGAGGTCTTGCACGACTTGCTCAGCCAGAGATTTAGTGAAAATGTACGTATTTTCCTTGATGCCCTTGATTTTAGCAGTAATTACATTTAGAATATGTCTATCCATACTTTCTGCAATTTTGATTGTCTTTCTCCAATCACCGTACGGTTCGTATATTTCTTCTTTTATGCATCTATTTTCGTGATGGCAGTAAGACGTGGACACATGTACTAAGATCTACATTTAGTGTCTAGTAATTTTTATTTTTTTTTATAGATTTATATATAGTTTTACCGGTTTTCTTTTAATGGCCAATGCCAGGTTACAGATCTCCCTCGTTCCTCTAGTGTTTATCAACACAGAATCACTCAAAGGAGCCTGGAACTT